GAGCGACCAGAAAAATCGACAAAAATTAAGTATTTGGTCTATTTCATCTCCTAAATATTAACCGATCTTTACCAACAACAATAGGGGTCTTCATTGGCCAGAACCCATCCTACATGCAAAATTTCGTAAAGATTGTTCCATAACTGTGACCTGTATCGTGTTTACAAATTATAATGGACAGACGGACGGATGGACACACATTTCAAAAATATTTTTAAACCAGTGAGCGAAGCTGTATAGTCGGACGAGGCCGACCATACGATACCCTACACAACTACCACGGGACTCTAACCTTCTGCGGATTTTTATTCCGAGCCTGAGCAACATTTCGTAATATTTGCACCCTCTTGCCCGATTAGAGATCAACAGCTCTTCCTTACACTGACATATTTTCCGAATAATTCTAATATTCGGTACATGTCCATAATCCATTCCCCGTGGGTTGTGTTGTGATGTTCGTCTTATAATTGTGGCCTATATATCGACTCGAAAAAAAAACAGAACAAATTAAGTTTTCGGTCCACTTTATCCCAAAATTATTATCTGATCATCACCGAAAATTATAAGCGTTGACCTTGGCCATATCTGGAACCTCATGGAATATTTCAAAGCGATCAGCGCTATATTTCCGCCCTCTAGTGTGGTAATGGGTTACTAAATAATATCTGAATACGTAAGCACCTGTAAATATTTAAGTGCAACTCCCACATCTGAGTACATACGACAATATAATTGGTATCAATTTAAAGGTCAACCACTCCTCTTGGAAATACAACAACTTCTCGGGTCTATGTCCTTCAGGATTAAATATATACGCCATAGAATACAATTTTTGTAATTTTTCACACAAATGTCAGGGTCCATTTCACCCATTAAATAATGACCAATCATTATCAAAACAATCATGCTTATTCTTTGGCCCGATCCCCTTCTCCATGTAAACTTACACGATGTTCGGACCATAATTGCGGCCTTTGGAGCGACCAGAAAAACGAACAAAAATTAAGTATATTGTCCATTTCATCCCCTAAATATAACCAGATCTTTTCCAAAACCAATGGGCAGAACCCATCCCACATGCAAAATTTCGTAAAGATTGGTCCATAACTGTGACCTGTATCGTGTTTACAAATTATAAAAGACAGACGGACGGACGGACGAACGAACACACACATGTCTAGATCGACTTAGCTAGTCGCGGACCAATATTTCGCGGCGTTACAAACTCTTGGGGCTGCAGAAAGCTATAATACCCAGACAACATACAGGGTTGCCCATATTCGACGGACCCATCTGGCAACGCCATAACTTTTGACAGAGATGTCACATTGCTTAATGACATACCGCCTTTGAAGCGTCATTCCAAGCAGATTTTTACCAAGAACCAATACACGCCACGCGAGCGCTCTGAATTAGTTGAAATTTACATTCAACAGAAGAAGTCAATTGTGAAAACTCAAAGGCTTTTAAAACATTAAAAAATGTGAGAAGTGCGCCATCTAAGAACACCATTAAGCGTTTATACGAAAAAATTTCGACTGGTAAGGCTCTTTCTAATCCGAAGAAGCCATATAAAAGTCGACCAAGGCGATCGGCCGAGAATATCGCTGCCGTACCAACACTGGCTCGTACGGCAGCGATATTCCCCAAGAACATCCCAAAAACGCCGTTCTCAGCAGTTGGGCATGGCTCGGTCCACTTTACAACGGATTATTCGCATTGATTTGCATTTGTTTCCGTAAAAAATTCAATTGACGCAAATAATGTTGCCTGCGGACAAGCCTCGTCGATTGGAATGGGCCCAAAGAGTCATCGAAATGGCCGAAGATGACGAGCAATTTTGGAACAAAATTATCATGTCCGATGAAGCCCATTTCACATTGAATGGGACCGTAAATAAGCAAAATTGCCGTTTTTACGCCACCGAAAAAAAATCCTCAGGAGATTCAAGAAATGCCTCTTCATGACGAAAAAGTCACAGTTTTGGTGCGGCGTTAGTGCGAAAACGGTCATTGGGCCGTTTTTCTTCCAAAATGAAAATGGCCATGCTGTTACCATCAATCAGGAGCGTTATCGCGACATGATGACCAATTTTGTGATGCCAATTATTCGTCGAAAGCGTATGAGACAGTTCTGGTTTCAACAAGACGGCGCTCCACCGCACACAAGTCGCATAATAATGGATTTTCTGAAGAATTTGTTTTCGGGTCGTTTGATGTCGAAAAGTGGTGATTTGGACTGGCCTCCGCGTTCGCCCGATTTGACGCCGCCTGACATCTTCTTGTGGGGATATTTGAAGTCAAAGGTTTACGTTAACAAGCCAAGGACCGTAGAAGAGCTCAAGGACAACATTCGTGAAGAAATAGCTGCTATTCCTGCCGAAATGTTGGCAAAACGATGGATGAAATGCAGCAAAAAGGGCACAATACGTCATCAACGCCAGAGGCGGCCATTTGAGAGATATCATATTCAAAAATTGAAAAAAAAAAAACAAATCTACTTGGAACAAATTAAATGATTAACATTGCCAACAGCCAGATTTTTATTTTTTTTTTCTTTGATTTTCAAAAAAAAAAACATGGGTCCGTCGAATATGGGCAACCCTGTAGTTGTGTAGGGTATACAAATCCACTCATATTATATCTTTAGAAAAAAATTATTTAAAAAATCCACGTACCCCTTTCAAAAATATGTATCCTTAAAATATTTATCCTTAAATATTCTATAAAATGTATCTACTTCCTTTCCCATTGAACATCATGAACATCCTTTATCCTGGCAACAAGTTTGCCTTTATCCACCTCTCTCTATCCCTTTCATCCTTCCATTGTTTTTTTTATGTGCTGGCAATTATTTTCCTTTTGGTGTTCATTTCGGAAACTACAACAACAACAGCAACAAAAAGTCGGTCAGGTTTTTTGTTGTTGTTGTTATTACAATTTATGTGTTTTTCTTAACAAATTTATGCCCTCCCCACAAAAAACAAAAGCCAAGTCAAGCCAAATAACAAATGAAAGTGTTTAATCCCTTTTAGCCTGCTCTGAACCATATATCAGGGGAAGGATAAATAATTTAATGCCATACAATTAGATTGATAAACGTTTTGTTGGTGTTGTTGGATTTTTTGTCTGCTTGTTTTTTTTTTCTTCTCCGGAATTTATTTTTATTATAAATCAATGTAAATGTAATATAAACGAGATAGATAAATTTCGTATTTATTTACAATTTTTTTTAATACAAAAGAAGAAAAGGTTGATCGGTGATAAATTGCAGGAAATTTGTTTAGGGTTTATATAGAGATCTTAGGAGAGAAGGGGGTTTGGATGTTATATCAATGGGGCAATAAGGGTGCAATCTGTTTGCCAAATATATTTTTGATATCTATAATAGGCGTGGGTTTTTTTAATAATTTCTTCAAAGACTGTAATAGACGTCGATTTAAAAAAAATGTTCGGAGTCTAAACAAAGCTTCGGATTTTTTAAATAATTTTTTTTCAGGGTCTATACAAGGCGTGGATTTAAAAAAAATCGGGGTCTATACATTTTGTTTTAAATAATTTTTTCAAAGACTGTAATAGGAGTCGATTAAAAAAATATTTTTTTCGAGGTCTATACAAGGTGTGAATTTAAAAAAAAAAAAAAAAATTGGGGTCTATACAAGGCGTGGATTTTTTTTTTTAAATAATTTTTTTAAAGACTGTGATAGGAGTCGATTAAAAAAAATGTTCGGGCTCTTTACAAGGCGTGGATTTTTTAAATAATTTTTTCGAGGTCTATACAAGGTGTGAATTTAAAAAAAAATCGGGGTCTATACAAGGCGTGGATTTTTTTTAAATATTTTTTTTAAGACTGTAATAAGAGTCGATTAAAAAATGTTCGAGGTCTATACAAGGCGTGGAGTTTTTTAATACTGTTTTTCGATGTCTAAACAAGGTGTGGATTTAAAAAAAAATCGGGGTCTATACAAGGCGTGGATTTTTTTTTTTAAATAATTTTTTTCGAGGTTTAAACAAGGTGTGGATGTAAAAAAAAAATCGGGGTCCATACAAGGCGTGGATTTTCTTAAATAATTTTTTCGAGGTCTATATAATGCGTGGATTTTTATACCCTTCACCACACTGTGATACAGAATATTATGCCATTGTGCATATGTTTGTAACAGTCAAAAGGAAACGAGACAGATACATGGTTCCTTTTGAGAATATGCATAGAATAGAAATTTGGAAAAATCGGTTCAGATTTATATATAGCTTCCATATTTATTTTCGTCCGACTTAATGTAAATGGTGTACCAAAATCCCTATATATCGTTCGATTTGCAAGAAAGTTGGCATAGTGTACTGGATTGAGCATCGAATGATAAGTGGTGGGTTTCGGGAAAATCGGTCCAGATTTAGATATAGCTCCCATATATATTTTCGTCCGATTTAACGTAAATGGTGCACCAAAATCTCTATATATCCTTCGATTTGCACGAAATTTGGTATAGCGTACCAAATTAAGTCTGAAACGATGTGTATTAAATTTCGTGAAAATTGGTCCAGATTTAGATATAGCTCCCATATATATTTTCGTCCGATTTCATGCAAATTGTGCAGCAAAGTCCCTATATATCCTTTGATTTGGTATAGCGTACTGAATTGAGTCTAGAATGATGTGTGGTAAGTTTCAGGAAAATCGGTTCAGATTTCCATACAGCTCCCACATATACATATATATTTATCCGATTTTACCTTAACGAAATTTTGCACGTATCGTATCAAATTGAGACTTGAATGACGTTATTGCGTTTTGTTGAAATTCGTACAGATGCAGCTATAGCTTCCATATTTATTTTGAACAGGTGTCTGATTGAAATTACATTACAATTACAGTGCGGCGTACCAAATAGCGCCTATAAATTTTTCTATAAATCATTTTCCAAAAATTAGTCCCATGGTACGCAGACGACTCTAAACCTGCCCGAATGAAAATAAATTTAGCAAAGGTTGCAGGAAGACATGAGTATGTTTCTTCGAGAGGACTTTGACATGCAATTGTAAGGATACATATTTACAATATTCCCAAAGTGGTGAAGGGTATCATATAGTCGGCCCAGTCCGACTTTACTATTTTCTTTACTCATTTTGAAATAATTTTCACATGGCATCTATATTTTAATATTAATTCATTTTTATATTTTTTATTTGTGCTGACTTTTACTAATATTTCCCCTGTCTTCTTCTCTTCTTCCAGGTCACAACCGTTTGAACGAATACATATCGCATTATGAAACACTTAGTTATGATCATCAACACATACGCGCTAGTCACCATAGAGCCCGGCGATCAGTGACCAAAGATCATTATGTATATTTAAAATTTCAAGCACATGGAAGAGACTTCCATATTAGATTAAAACGTGATTTACAAACATTTAGCGATAAGTTAGAGGTAAGTGAAAACACCGATTTACTTTCAAAATTTTCCTTCAAAAACTATACAATTCTCTTAAATAGACCCCGAAAAAAATTATTAATACACGCCTTGTATAGATCCCGAAAAAAATATTAATACACGCCTTGTATAGACCCCGAAAAAAATATTAAAAAATCCACGATTGTATAGACTTGGAAAAATTTATTAAAAATCCATGTCTGTGAATAGTCCTTGAAAAAATATTTTAAAAAAATTGTCCTTGAAAAAAATATTTATAAAAAATCCACGCCTTTATAGTAGCCTGAAAAAATACTTTACTTACTTACTAAGCTGGCTTGTTACAGAACGGTTGTTCCATAAGCCGAACTTAAAAAAGATTTCCAAGCGCGTCGGTCTTGTGCGCATCTCTTCCAATTTGAAAGTCCACGTTCCAAGATGTTGTTTTCTACATGGTCTTTCCATCTAATTCGTGGCCTTCCTCTTCTACGGGAACCATCAGTAGACTCCCTTTTATATACCTTTTGACCTGGGGCATTTTCATTCATTCGCACAACATGGCCTAGCCATCGTAGTCGCTGCAGCTCAATACGACTGACTATATCGATGTCCTCGTATAAACTGTAAAGCTCGTGGTTCATTCGACGCCGACATTCACCGACGACGCAGATCGTCCCTTAGATCCTTCGGAGAATTTTTCTTTCAAATACCTCAAGAGCTGCCTCATCTGCTTGCGCAAGTACCCATACTTCAGATCCGTATAACAGAACTGGTAGTATCAGCGTCTTGTAAAGTGTGAGTTTGGTCTGGGGAGAGGTGACCTTGTTTCTAAACTGTTTACTTAGACCATAGCAGCATCTATAGGCTATCATAATCCTTTTCAGAATTTCAAAACTGATGTCATTCGTTTTGTTTATGGCGGTACCAAGGTATATAAAACCTCTAACTACCTCGAATCTGTAATTCTCAAGTTCCACAGTTTGTCCGAGTCTACTGGACGTCTGGCGCGTTGATACCATCAGCTTGGTCTCCTCACCATTTACTGCCAGACCCACTTTGGCAGACTCCTTCTCAATTTGTTCAAAGGCGGTTGTTACCGCACTCAGTGTTCGACCCATTATGTCGATGTCATCGACGTAGGCGAGCAACATGTGTTGTTTGGTGTATAGAGTGCCATTTCTGTTCACCTTTGCCTCTCGTATGACCTTTTGCAGTAGAATGTTAAAAAGATCACACGACAAACTATCACCTTGTCTGAACCCTCTTTCGGTATTGAAGGGCTCGAATATGTCTTTTCCGACTTTAACTGCTGACCTTGTGCCACTTAAAGTTATCGTGCATAGCCTTATTATTTTGCAGGAATGCCGAACGCATGGCTTTATACACCTCTGAACGGATAGGGCTGTCGAATGCGGTTTTATGGTCCACGAATAGGGGTGGTATGTGTCGATGTGTTTTTCGTGGGGTTTTTTCAGAATCTGACCGAAAGTGAAAATCTGGTCATTGGTGGATCTGCCAGGTCTGAAGCCGCATTGGCATGGTCCAATAATGTCATTGACCATTGGCTTCAATTGTTCACACAGCACACTGGATAGCACTTTTTATGCGATGGAAAGAAGGCTAATTCCTCTATAGTTGGCACATATCGTCTTGTCTCCGTTTTTGATGCACGGGACACAGGAAGCTGAGGATCCAGCCATTGGGCATGCATTGCTCTAGCCAAATTGTACTAATATCGGCTGGTGCATGCACCTGACCACCAGTCTTGAATAGTTCCGCTGGTAACCCGTCGGCTCCTGCTGCTTTGTTGTTCTTGAGTCGATTGATTGCTATCTTGGCTAGGTGGTATACACTCTATACCGGCATCTATTATTGGTTCTGGGGTATCCACTTCACTGCTACTATTTGATACCAGAAGTTTCTCAAAATGCACCATCCGGATTCTCAGCACGTTGTCTGTATCTGTCACCAGGTTTCCCTCTTTATCTCTAATGGAGGATGTGCCTGCGCCGAAGCCTTCGGTTTGGTGTTTTACCCGTTGGTAAAATTTCCGGACTTCATTCTAACTCCTGTACATCTCGATTTGCTTACGTTTTTCTTGCTCTTTCTTCTTTTTTCTGAAAAAAAGTTTATCCTCTCTCCTTTTCACCTAATAATTATACATCGCATTGTGCGTTGCTGCTGTCTGCAGGGTTGCCCTATACGCTGCGTTTTTCACATCGGCAGCATTACGTCACCCCTGATCGTACCATGTGTTCTTTGGTGGTGGTTTGTGGTACCCAAGTGTTGCTTTTGCTGCAGTTTGTAGGGAGTGGGCAATTCTTTACCATTGTGCTTCTGTACTTTTATCGGGACAAGAAGTGCTTTCGTCAAGCAGGTGGGAAAGTTGAGCGGAGTAGGCCTTGGCTACCTATTGTGTTTGCAGTTTTTCGACGTCGAGTTTCCGTGTTGGGTTGGATGGCACTTTTGCTGCAACATTAAGACGAGTGCGAACCTTGGCTGCTACAAGGTAGTGGTCCGAATCGATATTCGCTCCTCGGATCGAAAGAACGTCTAATACACTGGATGAATGCCTTCCGCCTATCACAACATGATCAATTTGATTTCTCGTTGCTTGATCAGGAGAAATCCAGGTGGCCTTTTGTATATCGAGATGCTTCAATCTGGTGCTCACGAAGTCAATCGACCTCATGCCGTTGTCGGATGTTTCTTCATGTTAGCATTAAAATCTCCTAGCAGAATTTCCATGTCATGGCCAGGACAGCGATCATATTATGTTTCTAGGCGCTCATAAAATATGTCTTTGGTCTGCTCATCTTTGTCTTCGGTTGGAGCATGGACGCAAATAAGACTGATGTGGAGGAACTTCGCTTTTATGCAGATTATAGCAATTCGCTCATCTACTGGAGTGAATCTGGAGACGAGGTCTCAAAAAATATATTTTAAAAATCCAAGCCTTGTATAGACCCCGAAAAAATATTGTTTAAAAAATTCCGCGACTTGTATAGGACCTTGAAAAAATATTTTTTAAAATCCACGCCTTGTATACCCCGAAAAAAATTATTTAAAAAATTCCGCGCCTTGATAGGACCTTGAAAAAATATTTTTTTTAAAAAAATCCACGCCTTTAGAACATTTTTCTCTAACATTGTTTTGTTGCTTTTTCCTTTCTCTCTTTTTCCAGATAATTGATAGCAATGGCCCTTTGGATGTATCCACGGATCACATATATGAGGGCCACGTGATAGGGGACCGTAATAGCTATGTATTCGGTTCCATATTGGATGGTGTATTTGAGGGTAAAATTATTACCGAACGTGATGCCTATTATGTTGAACATGCCAAACGTTATTTTCCAACAAATTTTACAACAACAACAACACAACCAGAAATGCAATCGTTGCATAGTACTGATACCAATAGTTCATCAACAACAACGTCGACCACGACGACAACAACAACTACTACGACGACGACAACTACAACCACAACAGAAACTCCCACAGTCAAGTCGACAAAACCTAAATCCATAATCGAACATCACGATGAAGCTGTGAAAAATGTTGGCTTCCATTCGGTTATCTATAAGGAGTCGCATGTCGACGATGCCTACAAGGATGTGCGAGAGGGTAAGTGGAGAATTTTTTTTGTTTAATTTAATTTTTTTCATTAATTTTGGGAGGGTTCGAAAATGTTCACTTTATCTTAGGATCGAAAAAAAGTTGAAGGTTATTTCATCCTGAAATTTTCTAGACCACCCTGATGAGGCCTTCTACTGATAGAGGACCCAACTCAGTCCTTCTGTAAAAATTTTAAATTCTATTTACCTTTAAATTTATTTTCTGATTTTTTTTCGTCAGCTAACCAGGTTCCCCTATTTTTTGGTGTAAATTTTTTTGTCTCCATATTTGGTTTTTTGTTGGTGGTTCGTCGTTACACAAGTAAGGTTGTTAAAACATATTTGACTGACATGTTTTTCGAAGTGACATGCTTGGGTCTGCATGTTTTTTTATACACGACGGCTTTGTAAGAGTAGTTTTTATTACAAACCATATATCATTTTCGTTATTGTTGGTGTTGCATTTGAAATGTGTGAATGTAAAAAAAAAAAACACACACAAATACAACAGCCATGAGATTTATGTAATTTTTAAATAAGAGGTACCAGAACACTGTTTCCGAACAGCAGGATTACTAAAAAATATTCTTCAAAAAATGTACGACTCATATAGACCTCAAAAAATGTGCTTTAATATATCCACACCTCATATAAACCCCCAAAAAATATTCTTTAATATATCCACACCTCATATAGACCCCCAAAAAATATTCTTTAATATATCCACACCTCATATAGACCCCCAAAAAATAATCTTTAAAATATCCACACCTCATATAGAGCCCCAAAAATATTCTTTAATATATCCACACCTCATACAGACCTCCATAAATATACTTTAATGTATCCACACCTCATACAGACCTCCATAAATATACTTTAATATATCCACACCTCATATAGACCCCAAAAATGTTCTTTAAAATATCCACGCCTTGGATAGACCCCCAAAAATGTTCTTTAAAATATCCACGCCTTGGATAGACCCCCAAAAATGTTTTTTAAAATATCCACGCCTTGGATAGACCCCCAAAAATGTGCTTTAAAATATCCACGCCTTGGATAGATCCCCAAAAATGTGCTTTAAAATATCCACGCCTTGGATAGATCCCCAAAAATGTGCTTTAAAAACTCCACGCCTTCGATAGGCCGCCAAAAATGTGCTTTAAAAACTCCACGCCTTCGATAGGCCGCCAAAAATGTGCTTTAAAAATCCACGCCTTGGATAGACCCCCAAAAATGTGCTTTAAAATATCCACGCCTTGGATAGACCCCCAAAAATGTGCTTTAAAAAATCCAAGCCTTTGATAGATCCCCAAAATAGGCTTTAAAATATCTACGCCTTGGATAGATCCCCAAAAATGTGCTTTAAAAAATCCACGCCTTAGATAGATCCCCAAAAATGTGCTTTAAAAAATCCACGCCTTAGATAGATCCCCAAAAATGTGCTTTAATAAATCCACGCCATGCATAGACACTTAAGAAATATTCTTTAATAAATCCACGCCATGCATAGACACTTAAGAAATATTCTTTAATAAATCCACGCCTTGGATAGACCCTTCAGAAATATTCTTTAATAAATCCACGCCTTGGATAGACCCTTTAGAAATATTATTTAATAAATCCACGCCTTGGATAGACCCTTTAGAAATATTCTTTAATAAATCCACGCCTTGGATAGACCCTTCAGAAATATTCTTTACTAAATCCACGCCTTGGATAGACCCTTCAGAAATATTCTTTAATAAATCCACGCCTTGTATAGACCCTTCAGAAATATTCTTTAATAAATCCACGCCTTGTATAGACCCTTCAGAAATATTCTTTAATAAATCCACGCCTTGGATAGACCCTTCAGAAATATTCTTTAATAAATCCACGCCTCGTAAAGACCGTCAAATATATTTTTTATAAAATCCACGCCTCATATAGACCCGCGAAATATTCTTCCTTCAGTCTAGCGACTCTCTTCAATTCATCTATAGTAGAGACTCCCTTCAGTTCATCTATATTAGATACTCCCTCAAGTTCACCTATAGTAGAGACCCCTTTCAATTCTTTTTTTCTCTTGAAAATGGTGTACTCATAATTGCAGTGAACCCATGTTTAAGCTACGCGCACCCTTCAAACATATTCTGAGTGCTGTACCCTTGCCATATTATTGCTCTTCATGACCATTTGCATAATATTTCAGCTGGGTTTTTTAGGTGGTCATTTTGACATCATCTCGTCCATTTATAATTTTTTGTTTATTCAGTGCTTTTGTTTTTGTCATGTGGTCGGACTATATTTTAAACGACAATTCCCTAATGGACTGGGATTTTTAGTTTATTTTCAGTCAAACACACACAACATGAATAAAATATTCAGGTTTTTAATTTATTATTTTTTCAATCCTATATAAATAAGCCGTAAATATTGCAAATGAAATCAAATATGAAGTAAGGCAAACAAAAAAACCCCAAACAACCGATATACATTTTTTAATAAGTTCGATATTTCACTTTCCTGAATACATTTGTAAAAAATGGAATCCAAACAACTGGAAAGGTAATAAGTTTTTGTGTAAATATATATATGGATGGCATGAATTGCAAATATTTATGAACGAGTGTTCTTGTGGAAATTGAACTTTTAACCTATATAATCGGCAGTGGCCACAGATGTTTGTAGGTTTTGTGATATGAATATTATTTAAATAAGTTTTGCCTTAGCTGGAGCTCTAAAAAATATTCTTTAATAAATTCACACCTAGATGGAGCTCTAAAAATATTCTTGAAAAAATTCACACCTAGATGGAGCTCTAAAAATATTCTTTAATAAATCCACGCCTCAGTTGGCCCTTGAAAAATATTCTTTAATAAATCCACGCCTCAGTTGGCCCTTGAAAAATATTCTTTAATAAATCCACGCCTCAGTTGGCCCCTAAAAAATATTCTTTAATAAATTCACACCTAGATGGAGCTCTAAAAATATTCTTGAAAAAATTCACACCTAGATGGAGCTCTAAAAATATTCTTTCATAAATCCACGCTTTGGCCTCGAAAAAATATTCTTTAATAAATCCAAGCCTTGGATAGGCCTCCAAAAAATATTATTTAATAATATTCTTCAAATCGACGACTAGAGCCTCCCTTCAACTCGTCTGTAGAAGCGACTCCCTTCAGTTCGTCTAACGACTCCCTAAATCTCATCTTTAGTAGGGACTCCTTTCAGCCCGTCTATAGTAGAAACTTCCCTGCAGCTCGACTGTAGTAGAGACTCCCTTCAGCTCGTCTATAGTAAAAACTGCCTTCAGCTCGTCTATAGCAAAGATTGCCTTCAGCTCGTCTATAGTAAAGACTCCCTTCAGCTCGTCTATAGTAGAGAATCCCATCAGCTCGTGTAACGACTCCCTACAGCTCATCTGTAGTAGAGACTCCCTTCAGCTCGTCTATAGTAAAGACTCCCTTCAGCTCGTCTATAGTAAAGACTCCCTTCAGTTCGTCTATAGTAAAGACTCCCTTCAGCTCGTCTATAGTAAAGACTCCCTTCAGCTCGTCTATAGTAAATATTCCCTTCAGTTAGTCTATAGTAGCGACTCCCTTCAGCTCGTCTATAGTAGCTACTCCCTTCAGCTCGTCTATAGTAGCGACTCCTTTCAACTCGTCTATAGTAGCGACTCCCTTCAGCTCATCTATAGTAAAGACTCCCTTCAGCTCGTCTATAGTAGCGATTACCTTCAGCTCGTCTATAGTAGCGATTCCCTTCAGCTCGTCTATAGTAGAGACTCCCTTCAGCTCGTCTATAGTAGAGACTTCCCTCAGCTCGTCAATAGTAGGTACTCCTTTCAGCTCGTGTGTAGAAGAGACTTCCTTAAAAAACCTAGACCTTAGAAGGTCGTTAAAATTTCTTAATAATTTTTAAATAAAATTAAATCCCTTAAAACCTCATTACACCGCACTTTAATTACTTAACAATTTCTTTAACCGTGTCTTTATAAAAGTTTTACTTGAAGTTGCTGTTGCTCAGCTCACCTTAAGAATTTTCGTGTTGACTTTAAGTATGAAACCACACATAATAAAACAGTAGGAAACCTTTCACCCTTCCACATTCTCGCCATGACTTTCCTCTTCTTCTTCAGTTTTTCTTCTTAAGGTGCTCGGAACACAAAACCCCTATAGTGTTGAACTCCTATTTAGCCACAATAACAACACCCCCCTTTAACTAAAGTGCATGTGGTGTGTAGCTTTATTTGAAAACCGCCCTCTATTGTTCGGTTTTTGTAAACAAAGCCAACAACAACTACAAGAAGTTAGCAGTAAAAGTGTTTATGCGTCGTGTTTATGAAGAACCCACACACACTCGTAAAAAATCTAATATACAATAACGCCGTACTGTAAACAGCAACACATTTTCATTTGGGGTTAAAATACTTGAGTTTAGATAAAAATTAACGACGCGACGGACAGTGGATGGCTGTAGATGGAGAAGTACTTTAAGAGGAATGTGAAGTAGTGTAGAATTCCCTCAAAATAAACCCTTCAGTTTGTGTGTAGCTCAGACTCCCTTCAGAGATGCTTAGAGTACTTGGGTACCTACCTTGCGGTCCTACCCCACGGTGCTGTAAACACCAGTTAATACAAAGCGTCAACCAACGCCCCCACACCTAAATGCAGGTACCAATCGATCACACGTATTTGGACGCGATCACCTCCTTGGATGAGGAGCGGAACCCATCTAAAACTCCTGCCTTTCTATGGGTCAGGCACCCGGTTGTAATGCAACTCCACACCGAGCCACAGCTCTACCCGCGATTTGGGTATAAACCACATCCAGCACGATGCTCCCCGAAGGGCCAACACCAACTGCCAGGCTAGATCTAGGGGCCCTGACACCCGTGCTACCGAAACCTTCGGTCAGGTTCATAGCCAAACCCCAAACAGTTCGAGAATGGTCACTCACAGACTATAGCCTCTGCCCAGCTTCATAGACAAAGCTACTACCATTAGGACTAACATGCAGGCT